TAAGTTATACACATCCTTTAGGGAATAAAGATAACACTACATGGTACCAAATACTAACAGAAAAACTCACACCAAAAATGACACAGATAAATAAAAACATTCAATTGCTGAAATACAGCAACATTAAGCCACCTCAGTTTTCTTTTTCAAAATGCTTGGAAACACCCCTAACCACTCACGCGCTGTGGCAAAAGAAAGATGTTATGTCGTAGAGGCATTATAGATACGTCATTTTGTTTCTATATAGATATATATATCTATATATCTATCTCATCATTGTAAAAAATGGAGACGTATAGTTCATTGTTCATTTCCAGTAGAAACAAACAGCTAGTAAGTCTTTGCAACTCTTTTTCACTCCGTTACACGATGGCAGAAATAGACCATCCTCTTACAGTAAGTTTTTGTTGCGTAAGAAAGATTGTCTTATTTCTCAGTCTCAAATGAGAAGACCTCACTGTCTGATTCATTCCGCAGGGGCATAAAACTCCTTGTGCTGTTAACCCAGCTACCCATAACGTCCCTCAAGCAATTCTGCTGGACAGAAGTTCATAGTGTCAGACTCCACCACGCTCGTAATGCACAAAAATGAGGTAGTACGCAAAATGTTTACTGTTCAAGTTTTGATTAAGCCCCGGTCTTCTCAGCATCCCCAGCCTAACTTCTGAGTGGAACCATTCCCTTTATTTACTCAGCGTAATTGAAAGAACGCAATCAACATAAAATTATATTCGATTAATCAGAGTATATTGTGCTTCAGAGCGATCTGAGAAGATAATCAGTGAGAGTTGGAAATAAACGCGTAACAGCTCATGCTGCCCTAAAGTTATCATTTTTTTTTCCCCGCATTATTAGGCAGCCAACATCTTTCTGGTGGGAATGTGTGAAAGACAGAACAGATTACAGTAAAATTAAACCTACGCAATGTTCTCTGTCGTCTATCCTAGACTTGTATTAATATCACACTCCTAAGATAAATTTATCAGAATTCTGCTGGGGGTAGTCACGCTTTTAAGTGGGCTTTGTAGGAAAGTTAAATGAATCATTTCAATGTAAGAAATGGCAGGCCCATTTTTTCCTAAGGATCTGACAGTTCTCTGCAGCTTTTCTGCTTAGTTAAGAGAGCTCTCATTGTTTGACCTTAAAACAAAACAAGAAAGTGTAACAGGGCTTTCCCCGTTATTCCTTAAGTCAAAGTACTATTTATAAAATAGTTTACATCTTAGTTCAGTTTCAAATTATAGACAAACCTCCCTAATACAAAATACTAAAAGTGCAATAGTATAAATTAAGAGTTTGCAACCACATTATACAAACATTACCTTTTTATTGTACAGCTTTGATAACATGAAGTATTTACTCACAACTGTTTATTATGTTGTGAATAATTTATGGTGCTAAGGTTTGTCTGTAACTTGTTTTCCAATCATTGAGCTAAAGTCCACACTACATTTTTTTTTTTTTCATTTAATAGAACAACTGTCCACATAGCAGCTACAAATACTTAAATTAAAAAAAAGTTTGTTACTGACAGGTACTTGCACATGAAAAGCATGCTATCTTTCCCAATAAAACTTCACAATTTTGTCTGCATTAAAATAAACCACTTATTCATAGTAAAACAAGACTTGCTTTAAAAAAAAAAAAAAAAAAAAAAAAAAAAAGGGAGAGAGAGAGAGAGAGAGAGAAAAGAAAAGAAAAAGAAAGGTCACATAACCAGATGTATTTTGCAGTACAAGAGCTTCATTTAAATTTGGGGCTAGTATATTGTCTGTTACCCGCATAGTCTTAACATTATAAATACTACAGACAAGGATACTGTAATAATACACAGCATTGGGGTACTAAATCACTTATTTGAGATTAAGATTCCTAAAAACATAGTCCAAGTTGCTAACTAATTTGAACAAAACCAGCAAGAGTGACAGAATGCCATAGCGAAGCCCCCTCTCTCAGTTGATAGTAAGGTTTCTAAGAAGAAAGTGGACGTAGACTAGCCTCTTTCTGTTTCTAATGAAGTTATCCAATGGTTTTTTTGTTTGTTTGTTTCTGTTAAATTAAATGGTTTCACAGTTCTCAATAACAGTCAAACTCACTGTTGAAAGAAGTACCATGCAGATCTTGCAAGACAACTTTTCAGCAGCCACAAAGTTGGGTATTTCTGCTACGGGTAAAATTTTAAGGGGAACCTATGCATTTAGGTCAGGAAACTAATGCTTAACTTCAAAAGCTGTACATGGAACAGGACAAGTGTTGCGTCGAGTAGTGGTCCAACAGTTATTCGTAACGAATGCTTTTAATTTATGCCAATCTCTTTATTATCCTCAATAAATCTGGTGAATGGACGACTGGCTCCAGTTTCAGAACTTGCTTTGTCCAAACCAACAATGGGAGGGCTGCTGCCCGTGCGAGCTTTGTCCATGCCACTGGTAAGGTTGCTTAGAGGTGGGATGGCACCTCCACCAAGACTTACTGGGAGTTGGGGAATGCCTCCGTTCTGTATGACAGAAATCTCATTGTTCTTCATGGCAAGTCCATTTGTGATAGCTGCAGCATATTGGTTCCAAAAACTGGGGTCAACGTTCATGGCCCGAGCTGCCAAATCCTTCTGGAACATTTCAGAGAACTTCAGTGCATCACCACCCAGCAAAGCCATGGGGTTTTCCACGGAGAGGCGACGGCCGCGGCGTGCAGGTGCATTATTCCACATGTGCGTTCCCATGTGAACCTGCAATGCAAATGGGACAAGAAACACCCTCACATTAGCATCTTCCAGGTGAGTGGCTGGGCCGAGACCCTTGCTTTTAAAAAAAAAAAAGTCTTTTAATTCTGCTTTTAAAAAAAAGTCTTTTCATTCACATTGGAAACAAATCAATTCCAGTTAAGACACAGTTCTAAGGCCTGGTCAAGCTGTGCAAAGGAAAATTCAGCTCCGTAGTAATCTTTCAGTGTGCACCAAAAGAACAAAGCAATCCTCTTAGGTTTGGACAGTCTCGTATGCAAGCTGGAAATTCTTCATGCTGAAGATTACCAAGTGCTTTTACTCATACTAGGAGATGGCATTTTTTTCTGCCCTTTAACATCTTTTCTCTTAATATTTTATCTCACATCAAATGCATCAATCATTTTGCTAAATATAATATTAAAAACAGGAACTTCAGGACAGTTAAAAGTGTATTCCCCAGGCAGTGTCCTGGTGGTTAACCAGACTGTGGGAATAAGAGGCACGAGTCCTGCAGTGACCTGCTGTAAATCAGTGGGAAACTGCTTTCTTGTCTGCAATGCCCTCAAAGCAGAATAGAAAATGGAAATCTGTGACGGGCACACTAGTTGCTGAGATAGTTCTGCATTTCTGGTTTAGAGTGAGCTTATTTTTCAGTGCTGTTCCACAAGAACTGCCAGAGCATGCATACCAGCTGACTGTCTGTCAGACGAAATACAGTGTACGTGTAATACAGTCAGAAGCAGTTTTAAAGAACACATCCTTGCACAGCCTCTTCTCGGTCCCTATCTTTAACACAGGAGAAGCATGAAACACACCGGCATACAACGAGCCTTGAATCTCCCTTTTTTCCTGTTTCTGGGACACACATTCAGCCCTAAAATCGGCCAAGTTCAAGTACAGTACCTCAATCCCCCCAAGCCTTTACATTTGCATTTGGCCTCTTACCTTAAGATTCCCCTTTGTGGTAAAAGCTCTACCACAGATTGTGCAACCAAACGGTTTTTCACCAGTATGGGTGCGCTCGTGTATCTGCAGTGCGCTTGCTGAGGAGAAGGTCTTCCCACAAGACTGACAGTTGTGCTGCTTGGGAGTGCGGCGAGGGGGGGGTGCCAGCATGGGGGTGATCCCCGGACTCATCACTGTCTGTGGTGCAGCAGGAACCTGGATTCCAGCTGGAAGCGAGGGAACCTCACCCAAAGAGATCGGCTTGCTGTGACCATTCACTTCCATTTTGATCATGGTAGGCGCTGTACTGGTGACCAGGCTAGGAGTACTTTGGCTGGGACCTAGAGTAAAGTTGGGTTCAAATAACTGAGAAGGCAGCTCTTTTAATTTGTGCGTCAGTAAGTGTTGTTTTAAATTACCCATAGTGGAACACCCACGATTGCAGACTGTACAAACAAATGGACGTTCTTTAGTATGGCTGCGGTAGTGAATTTCCAATGCACTCTTACAAGCAAAAGGCTTGCCACAGATATTACAAACAGTACTTTTAAACTTACCACGTTCTCTGTTCAGGAACAGCAGGCTAAAAGGAGCCTCCTCTTTGATGACCGGTCTTCCAGGGTTGGTGGATGTCAGATCTAACGCGCCTCCATTTTCAGTTGCGGGTGGTGGGCTGTCTGGTTTTTCAGTCTTTAATTGTATTTCTTGTGGTTCTTCCTGGTTGCTGAGACCTGGGGACTTTGATCTGAAACTTTCACTGTTACTATTTACAGGAGACAGAGCTTGCATGGAGGAAGAAGACTCTGACATTGCAGGGCTGCCTGCACTCTGGCTTTCGAGATCACCAACAGCCGATGAGGAGTCATTGCTCAAATGGTCACTTTCCCCTGATCCATTTTCTATGGATTTTAAACTGGTCAGCTGCTGACAGTTCATGACAGAATCAATCATTTTCATTTGATTCTCCAAAGCAGCGATACTGGAGATCACAGAAGGCGGCGAAGAAGGACATGACCCAGAGTAAGAGATAAGGGGTTTTGCTGAGTCGCTTGTTATGTCCTTTAACTCCGGGTCCTCTTCCATAGAATTTTCATCAATGTCATCATCGAAGTTGCTCAACGTGTCAATGTTCTTCTCGTCATAGGAAAGTTCTGAGTCCATGGCGTCCTGGAAGCCCTCTGGTAATGGCGTGTTAGGAATTTGCCCACCCATATGCATACGAATATGCTGCTGAAGAACAACTGCATTTGTAAATTTCTTCTGACAAATGGGACACGAGTGCTGTACTCTAAGTGGTGGCTTTGCTCGATGAACTCCAAAATGCGTTTTT